TCTCTGTCTCTCTCTCTCTCTCTCTCTCTCTCTCTCTCTCTCTCTCTCTCTCTTCCTCTCTCTCTCCCTCTCTCTTTCTTTTTTTCTTTCTTTCTTTACATTTTAAATGCTGGTCCCCTTCCCAGTTTCCCCTCCACAACCCCCAACCCCCATCCTATCCCACCTCCCCTTTGCCTCTTTGGGGGTGCTCCCCCACTCAGCCACCCCCATTCCTGCCTCTCCACCCTAGCATTCCCCTTATGCTGGGGTATTGAGCCTCCACAGGACCAAGGGCCTTCCCTCCCATTGATGCCAGTCCTCTGATAAACATGTATCTGGAGCCATGGGTCCTTCCATGTGTACTCTTTGGTTAGTGGTTCAGTCCCTGGGAGCTCGGGGTGGGGAGAGGGAAGGAGGGAGGTCCAGTTAGTTGATATTGTTGTTCTTTCTATGGGGTTGCAATCCCCTTCAGCTCCTTCAGTCCTTCCCCTAACATTTCCATTGGGGTCCCTCAAGCTACTTTTTAAAGCAGGGGTGTTTCTGGGCAGTTCCTATAGCTCTTGTGGAATCTCTCCACACAAAGTCAGTCTCTGTTGGCCCCTGGGATTTAATGTCATCATGTAACAATCATTTAACATCATTCAGTCCCCACTGAGGGGGTCCTTGCATTTAAAGAGAAGTGTACAAAAGAAGGTGAGGCAAGAAATTATCAAACAGCAACTATGAGGGATTGCACCTCATGAAGACACAGAACTGAGCTCCTCCACTTGACACAACACACCAGCTTTGATTTTTTTTTTTTTTTTTTGAAAGATCCATTTCAGAAGCTCTGACTTCTCCCCAGAAGTGAAAATTGCCTTCTGGTGGAGAAAGGTTTTAATGATCACTTTGCTTCCTGCGTCTCCATGGTGACAGAGAGCACATAGCCCACCCCCTCCTGCTTCATTAGGCCTTTCTTGGTCCCAGGAAAGTCATCAATCAAGCCGCATAGATGCCTCTGTGACCTGTTTATCACCTAAACAATCCACATTGCCTTGAGTGTGGAAGAGTGGACAAGCCCACAGAGCGGAAAGAAACCCCACACTGCCGGGCGGGCTCACACCTTCATTTCCCCACAGCAGCTCTGTCCAGTACACCTGTCCCGGGAGGCGGGTGCGGCCAGGTGCGCCAGACCTGGCTGGAGTCCTGGTGCCCAGTGACAGCCTTGGGCACGATGGCCGCAAGACCGGGGTGCTGCCCTGATCCTTTGGGTGGGGACCACACGACCATAGGAGGGCCTGGACAGAGGGCAGAGTAGGTACCAACCCGGGGCGGAGGTGGCCCTCGGACCCTTCCCCTGGTCAGTCAGCTGCACACTGTGGTACTCCCTACTGGGGATGCAAAGACCAGCAGCCAACCAACAGGGCACACTGCAGAGTACCCAGCTCTACCAGCAAAGAGGTTGATTCCTCTCCGGACAAAGGGCTCCAAGGCAGCCCTGTGTGCTGGGTACAGGAACCACGGGCCCTGGTGGTGCCTGAATCGGGCCGCTGTACCCCCAGTGAAGGCGGGGGGAGCAGTGGCGCGTGGGGACGCGGTCCCCATGCCACCTGCCTCGTGTCTCCCCCACCCCGCCTGGCCGCCCCCGCCGGGCCCAGTACCTGGGTTCTCCCCGGCGTCCGTGGAGGTGGCTGAGGAGTCGCTGAGGAAGCTGGGGTCACTCTGCGAGCGGCCCCGCGACACAAGGCAGCTGCTGCCGTCCTCGGATGCGGCCATGGGAAAGGCGACGCGGGGGCAAGTTGGAGGGAGATGTGGAATCAGAGCATCCTAGGCGGCCAAGGTCACCGGCGAGGGGGCTGGAGAGGGCGTCTTTTTTAAAAGGAAAAGCAAAAGGGACCAGGAAAGAAAAAGAACGGAGGAGGACGCCAGGCTGGCTTCAGGGTGGGGAGACAAAAGCCTTGCAGGCTGCAGCCAGACGCATCCCGGCTGACGCGGCCTCGCTTTGTTATTTATTCGTATTTATTCCCATTCTTCAGTTTATATTCCAGGGGAAAAAAAAAAGTTGAACCAGGAAATAAAAACTTTTTCTTGTCAGTGTTTATGGCGTGCTTGGGGCTGGGGGAGATGTCCAGGAATGTCTGGGGGCGCT